ATTTCAGATCTCATCTTCTTTATTACATACTGTCGCCAGTAAAAATAGCTGCCTTTGTTTGATTATTTATTTTTTATTGTTTTATTTTATTATTTATTTAACTTTACTTATTTATTTTAATTTGACCAGAGTGAGGGAGAGGGAAAGTAAGAAAGCAAGCCACCAGGTCTAGGACTCAAACTGCGGTCGGCCATGTGGGAATCCAGTGCCCTTAACCTCCACACCATCTGCCAGCCCCTTGATTTTATTATTTTAACCAAGTATTTATCGAACCATTATTTGTGTAGAGTACTGTGCAGATTCAGGGTGTATAAGAAGATGTGTAAGACCCAGGTCTACACAGATAATTGTGGTAAGAGGTAGAATATGATGTGTCTCGTAATTAATGAACCAGTGACAGACTCTGCACTTCACGGGTGGGCAAAATCACTTCTCACCAGTGCAGATCACCAAAGGCTTTATGAAGGAGGGGTGTGTGACTTGAGCCTTGATGTCTGCATTTCTGACTACATGCCTTATGTGCTGAACTGCTGATTTTTTTTAAGTTTTTTTTTTTTTTTTTTTACCATAGGGCCCAGGTGTTTAACAGAGCCAGGACCAGGGAAGTTGATAGGGTTCAATACAAGGCACAAAGTAGATTTCCCGAGGTCTGTATTCAAACTTTGGTTTCTCTGATTTCAGATCTCATCTTCTTTATTACATACTGTCCCCAGTAAAAATAGCTGCCTTTGTTTGATTATTTATTTTTTATTGTTTTATTTTATTATTTATTTAACTTTACTTATTTATTTTAATTTGACCAGAGTGAGGGAGAGGGAAAGTAAGAAAGCAAGCCACCAGGTCTAGGACTCAAACTGCGGTCGGCCATGTGGGAATCCAGTGCCCTTAACCTCCACACCATCTGCCAGCCCCTTGATTTTATTATTTTAACCAAGTATTTATCGAACCATTATTTGTGTAGAGTACTGTGCAGATTCAGGGTGTATAAGAAGATGTGTAAGACCCAGGTCTACACAGATAATTGTGGTAAGAGGTAGAATATGATGTGTCTCGTAATTAATGAACCAGTGACAGACTCTGCACTTCACGGGTGGGCAAAATCACTTCTCACCAGTGCAGATCACCAAAGGCTTTATGAAGGAGGGGTGTGTGACTTGAGCCTTGATGTCTGCATTTCTGACTACATGCCTTATGTGCTGAACTGCTGATTTTTTTTAAGTTTTTTTTTTTTTTTTTTTACCATAGGGCACATGTGCTTAACAGAGACAGAGCAAGGGAAAGTGAAAAATCACTCCCCAGGGGATGGCCACCCCACAATCCTTTCTCTTCCATTCTCCTCCAGGGATTTTGGGCATATGTGTACATGCGCCCCGGTCTGATTTTCAAGCTGCTGGGTCCAGGACTCAAACCACTGTTGGCCATGTGAGAATCCAGCATCACAACCACCACATGACCTGCTAGCCCCTGAACTTGAGATCTTAAGATCTTAGTTGCTGTTGCTTCTTCTTCTTACCAGCCATTGTTGCTCGCTGCCACTCTATCTTGTGACTTTGCTATTCTTCAAAATTGAAAGGATATAACTAGAAAAACCACCTTGACTAGAACCAGAGAAGAACAGCTATCCTCAGACTCCATAGTGTCCTCCCATTTTCTCACCTGGATGGAGATAGCATAGTGATAAACAGCCCTGCTTCACCACTTCTCTCTGTAATTTTGGGAAACTAACTACTGTGGGCCTCAGTTCTCTAACTATAAAATGAGGCTAAGACATGCCTCATAGGATGTATCTGTGGATTTAATGGGATTCTGTATATAAAGCGCCTAACTGGGCACCTGGAACTTAAGTCCTCAATAACTAATAAATGATAGTCACAGTTAATAGATTCTGTAACTGTGTATCTAAGTAGATAAATATGGCCAAATAAATTTTAATTACATTTAGAATAGCAGAACATTGATATTGGTTCTTTAATAATATTAGTTAGCAGTTCTTGAGTCAACCTTCCAGAAACATAATGCATAAGTACAGTCCCTGCCATGGTAAAAGCATCATAGTGACTAAACCTGCAGCCATGTGAGAGAAGCCAAGATCTTTTTCTTTCTAAGTTATTTTGTATCTCCTTACTGTCCTCAGTAGCTGCTCAAGTTGCAGTTAGTCCATTATTTCTTTTTTAAAAATGTTAATTGCAAGAAGGTATAATGTTAATTGCAAGAGAGTATATATATGCTCATTGAAGGGAGAAAAAGAGAGAAAGCATCCCTCCAATGGGTCGTGGTCATGCCATAATCCTTCCTCCTCCATTTCTCCAATGGGTCGTGGTCATGCCATAATCCCTCCTCCATTTCTCCCTCCCATCAGAATTTTGGGCATGTATCCACACATTCGGGACATGTTTTTCAAGCTGCTAGGGCTGGGACTCAAACTGGTCAGCCACGTGGGATCCAGCTTCCTCTGCACAGGGCTTAACAGGTCCCCTGCGGCACCAGCCCAATCCAGTACTTGAGTAGAAAAGTTACTCAGGAAAGACAGTAAACTGTAACAGAATTTACAGTAGACCTGTCAATGACAAAGTGTTCACACTTACCTGGCCTTGAATTTTCTAGATAACTCTATCATGAGTATTTTTTTTTTTTTGAGAGGCTTTTGCTTTAGGGCATGTGCGCTCGCCAGACAGACAGAGAGAGACAGAGAGACAGAAAGCGAGAAATCACCCCCCCAGGGGGGATGGCCACGCCTCAACCCCTTCTCCTCCGTTCTCCTCTTGGGATCTTGTGCACGCACGCACACGCACCCAAGTTTCAAATCACCGGGTCCAGGACACGAACCGCGGTTGACTACGTGGGAGTCCAGCGACATAGCCATTACGCTAACTGCTGGTCCCTATCATGAGTATTTTTATACATGGTTGAATTTTAATTGCTACAGTTGAAGAAGTGGGGATGATTTGTAACACCAGTACTTTGATCAAAACTACTCCAAAAAATAATGCTATTTAAGTTGTTAAGTATGTGTTTGGTTTTTTTCACTTAGTAAATTGGTATTATTTTTTGGAAAAGCATTTTTACTGTTAAATTTACCTTTAGAGTCTGTTTTGTTTTGTTTTTCCTGGTGTCTGCTGAGGTTTGGATAAAGTTTGCCATCGGCTGTAAATGTCTGAAGAATTGGTTAACCCCTATAGTATTCATCATTACATGACAAACTAAGTCTAAGCTGAAGAGTGAAACTTAGTTAGGCGAAGAAACTTTTTGCATTACATTTTCTCTCATCATCGTAGAATTTTTGTCTCATATTGATCACCTAAGAGTATAAATTTATGAAATGGAAACTTCTGTAAATGTTAGCTTTTGCCATTTATTTACTTAGAGATTTATTTATTTACCTAATTTTATCTATTACTGTTATTAATTTGCTATAGAGAGTATGTGCTCACCAGAAAGAGTGAGAGAGAGCAAGCTGCCAGGTCTGGGACTGAAACTACGTTTGGTCATGTGGGAGTCCAGTGCCTTTAACTGCCATGTACCTGTTGGCCCCATTTAGAGATGTTTTTAAAAGAATAAAAGGGATTATAGACTTAAGTAAAAAACATTAGAGATGTTTAGAAAATCAGTCTTGTTATTTCCCATATCTAGCTTAGTTTTAAGCACCACTTTATGCCTAATTAAACTAGACTATATATAGGGAACTTGCCCCCTGTACATTATGAACTCTGAGATAAGTTGTTTGTACTAGCAAATGGACTGAATTTATCTAAATATTGAGTTATAAAATTTTTAAATACAGTGTAATATTGGAATAATAATGGATTAAACTTAATTAAGTTAAAATTTAATGATGGAAAAAAAACTTAATGGCTAAAACTCCAACCTGTTATAACATCTTACTTAGTAAAGAGTATAAAAGTATTGCCCTTAAACAGAGATGAGTTTGCATCTTACCTGGCACCCATCTTTCTACATCCGTGAACAAACACTCAAGGGTCCTATAAACATAGTTACACTACATCTGGTACCTGTGTAAATGAGGAATTATTCCCAACTGGCTCCCACTATGACTGAGCCTCAAGCTCTTTGAGTTTAAAAAAAAAGTCAAAGCTAGAGAGTTAGAATAATAATCCCTCAGCCCAGCCACAGTGCTAAAATGCTGTGCTCCGCAAGCTGGGACTGCTTGGGAGACCTGGGATTGATTTCCTGTCCAACCTGAAGGCTTGGCATGGTAGCATGCACCTGTATCAATCCCAGTGAAGGGAGGCTGGGGCAGGAGGATCCATGAGTTTGAGGTTGGCCTCAGTAACATAGTGAGGCTGTCTAAAAAACAGCATGGTGTGGTGGCACACAGCTGTAGTTCCAGCCAGAAGATTGAGGCAGGAGGATTGGGACAATAAGGCACTGTCTAAAAAAATAAAAATAAAATAATAGTTTCATCTCTTTAAGTGTAGACCCATGACAAAACTACTCACAGCAGACAAAACATACCACTCCCAACCTAGCATTACATGCATGTTCCTGTCATGCATGAAAATATATGATACCTAGTCAAACTTTTTTAATCAAAATAACAGTTTTGCTCATTTTAATAAAATTGGGTTTTAGTTAACCAACCTTTTATTTTGAATAAAATTGGGTTTTAGTTAACCATAGTGCCCAAGGAAGGATACAGATGAGCCTTTAATAATTTACCTGGCAGTGGTGCATTCTTTTTAAAACCTGATGCTGTATGTTAATTTTCCTCTGCTTTTAATAAGGTTTAAAAAATTCCATTTTGTAATAATGCATGAGTCATTCATTGCTCATTATCTTCCCACTGATTTTTTTTTTCTTTTTGCCTTGAGCCAGCAAGAAAATCTTACATGCGAGGAGGGAGAAGCAGTGAGCTGAGGAATACAGTACTTAAATACTGTTGCTTGATTTTCATTGGTTCACTCCTTTCTTACCCCGGCCAGTCTAATCCAGCCTTTCCCATCAGATCCCTCCCCTCCCCCACCCTCCCTGCCAAGGGCTTCACGGGGTGTCTGTTGGTAGAAACTGACTGCAGGCAGTATGTAGGCATCTTTCATTCAGAATGGACAGTAATATATTGAGTGGAAAAGAAAGCTTTTAGAAATGTATCGTTTGTCAAAATTGTATGGCTTTTAAAAAGGGATAAAGAGAGATGCTGAGTGTTTTGCATGTTAGCATCGATTCCTTATTTCTGTTCAGATTCCTAAATTTTCAGAAGCTTAAATATAGAGCCCTTTAAAAAAAAAAAAAGGAAGAAAAAAGAATTTGCCTGGCTAGTCGACCTCTGGGAAGTGTTTCGTCCTCCTCCTCCACCTCTCCGTGGTGATTCTCTGCAGCTCTCTGTAGGTTAGGCTTCAGTGCTGCCAAGCAGAATGCTCATGTGTTAGCTGAACAGAGTTCATCGACAGAGACCAGTATAGGTTTGCTTTCTTGCCTGTGAATTCCAAAATGCCATCCAAAGAGTCTTGGTCGGGGAGGAAAGCGAATAAAGCTACGGTTCACAAATCAAAACAAGAGGGCCGTCAGCAAGATTTATTGATAGCAGCCTTGGGAATGAAACTGGGCTCTCCAAAGTCGTCCGTGACAATCTGGCAACCTCTGAAACTCTTTGCTTATTCGCAGTTGACATCACTTGTTAGAAGAGCAACTCTGAAAGAAAACGAGCAAATTCCAAAATATGAGAAGGTTCACAATTTCAAGGTAAGAACATTTTATTTTAGCCTTTTCTTATAAGAAATGCACATTGCTTTAAATATGCACTATTCAAAGAGTATCTTCCAGTGTCTTTTTAAAAACTACAATGACTTGACTAAAATTTTCTTGCTATTTAAGGAATGAGAATGTTTTAAGTCTGTTTTTATTTAAGAGGTAGCTGAATAAAACTAATAAAAATCTAACCCCATTTCCTCTAATGCTGTTTGACTATTCTATTAAAAGTCTTGACTGATATTAAACGGTCTTATTTAGTAATGAGTTGGGCATTATTTTTATTTATGATGCAAGTATGTCTAAATACCTTTGCAGGATAGTGCATGAGAGGATTAGATCTTATCTCTGTTCGTTTCTGGTAAAAAGCTTTGACTATAAGACGCATGTGCCATTGCATCTGGATTGAGCAGATGGTCTGCATTTTCCCATAGTTTCTGTCTTTTCTCCTCTGTTAATGAATTGACCACGATGAAAGGAGGATGGCTACCAGGGGACTGGTGGTGATGCTGACACTCGCAGCTTCTCTTCTCTCTTTGAGTATTTGCTTTCACCGAGTGTGTGTGTGTGTGTGTGTGTGTGTGTGTGTGCAGTTTTTAATTATTGTGTTAATGTGTTTTATCAACTATACTTGACTCTTATCAAGATGGTATGTGTAGATTGAAGCTATGTGCAGATCTTGCTGGTATTTAAGCATATAAGGCCTTGAAGTTTTATATCTTTACAATCTAATTCAGAGAATATACCTCACTATGTGAGGTCACCCATAAAGGAGATCCAGTTAAGTTAATATGTAGTGGCATTTCCTGTAGTAACTTCCAATAGTTAGACAACTTTATGATATTCTTGAGACATGAATATTTTTAGTTTAAAGTATCATTAGTTTCAAAATTAGAAAGAGTATCTGGTTTAAAAAGATGATAAAGCTGGAAACACTGATCCTTGATTTATTACTTTATCCAGTATTCAGTGAACACATAGAAAGCAGCAGGGTCTGTACTAGGTCATTTCATTCCAGATTTGCAATTCATCCTGATTTTTAACCCTCTCATTTATTTGACTCAGATGCTAAATGCCAAGCCTCAAATATGCTCTGCATTTCTGAGGAATAAATTTTTTTTTTCAGATCATTTGGAGTAAAGGATAAATTACTTAATTTAAAAAACATTTCTAAAATATGATTTTTATGTAAAGATTGTTAATATTTTAGGGTAAAACAAAGAGCATTTTCTTCTTCTTCCTTAAACATATTATTAATGACCTTACTTTTCAACCAATATCTTTGGTTTAAAATGAAATTGAGGCAGTTCAGTAGACTAAATATCTGATAGAAAACAGAAATCTCATGTGCATCCAGTCTTAACTACATCTTCCATTTATGAACTGAAACAGCACATGTAAGTTACTAGGCCTCAGTTTCTACTTGCATGATATACACAACCTGGTCTCATAGCATATGCTATCAGGAAATGACCCAAATAAACCCTTTTGCAAACATAAAGTATATACATGTTAGGTCACAGAAGTAGCCATTTAGATTCCTAAGTAAGAAATTATATGCACATTTTTAAGAAATGGCTGAGATTTTATAATGTATGTCTAAAGATGTACCCTCTGATTTATTTAGCAGAAACAGATTGATCTATTAGGAATTTTATTATAATGTCAAGTCAAGTTCATTGCACATGCTTTTTTATTTGTTTGATTAAAAGCAACTGGAACTGTTAAAGATTTTAATAAACAAGCATATTCTTTTTGGTTATTGGTTATGTCTCCAGTTATTTCTCAGTTTTAACACATGGCTTTAATGAACAAATTCTGTACAACCAGAAAGTGCTGGCTAGGAAACCAGTCATCCCAAACTACTTTAAAGGTACCTGTCTTTTAAAAAGCATATAAAAAGTAGAAGGCTGCTGTTTTCTGTGGAGTTAGAAAATTAAAACCAGCTTGAACTTATTCTTAAAAAGAGTCTTAATTCTCAGGAAAGGGCTCATGTCAGTGAGTTGCATTACATTACCTTTTTTTTTTTTTTTTTTTTTTTAGTGTTGCTAATAAGGTCAGAAGTCTCAGAATTTGACTCTTCTCGTTGAAATTACTCTGTTATTTAAAAAATGTTTCTGCGGGGTGGCATTATTTAAAAAAAAAAAAAAAAAACTAGAAAAGAAAGGCGGGGGAAAGTCATACTTCCGAGAACATCCTGAAAAGAATTCAGACTGTGGCAGGAGCAGTCTCTCCCACACAAATGCTTACTTAGAAGGTCACTGCTTGGGATGTGTAAGTATGTACAGTTCAGAGATTTATTGTGGGAAAAACCCTGAACATTTCCATGATGACAATCACTCACATAGCCTCTCCGTTGGCTATCTTCTGTGTTGGTACAAGTGTATTCTGTCTACTCTGAAGCCCACTCACCAAAGCCTCATTTCATTATGGTTTTCTTTTTTGCTTCTTGAACTGCCTTGTTATGCAATACCACGTTGTGGTGTTGAAAAGGTACCAAATCTCATTTTAGGGGGTAAAGCCAAGAGTACTTTATACTTTTGATAAAAGCTCTCACCAAGGTGAAAGCCAGACAAATCAACAGGACCTAACTATAGACTCTAGGCAGGGTTTTTTTTTGTTTTTTTGTTTTTTTTTCTTTTAGGTTTTTTTTTTTTTTTTTTTCAGTAGAAAAATCAGAAAGTCTCCCCATTTTGTTGTGTTATGTAACAGTCTCTTTTTCTCTCTTTTTTTTCTGTGTTACTTATTAGGATTTGATAAAGAATCTTCACAAGAAGAATAGTTGTATCTCTTAAGGAGATTATTATTTTAGAGATAAATGTACCACATCCTTTAAAAAACTATTACCCTTTAAGATTTCAACATAAATTATAGTGAAAATAATTTTAACTGTTCCCTGGATCAGCCTCTCATTTTAAGAACTATGCTATTCAAATACACATACAGAGAGAGAACAAAACAAAACGAAATCACTGATATTAAAAGTAAAACCAAAGCACTCCACCAGCAATGATTGTACCCTGTCTTCCAGAGCTGTCTGGATAGGATGCTAACCAAAGCCCAGCCTTGGCCAGCAGGAGCTTGCTTATTACTCGTATCACCTGGGGCAGAGTGCTGTTCCTCTAAGCCCACGTTTCTACATCTGAGAAATTGAGTTTCTGGTACATGTAGCTACATGGTAACCCCTGTTTCTATTATTACAGATTACTCCTCTATTGACATTTTTTTCTGAATCTATACCAAGAAATTAATTTGTACTTAAGTATTCATCTGACTCCTGTTTCCCTTGCCAACTTGTCAAGGCCAGGATGCAGTCGAGAACCTTAGCATGACTGTGGGGGCTGAAGGAAGCTCTTACTCTTTATTAGCTCCCAGGCAGAGTTAGCTGTTATGTAAGAGAAGCTACATTTTTCATGCACCACAAAATACAGTGAAATCCTTTTTATTTCTTTCACTCTCTTCAAATTAACTATTCTGTGTTTCACTTGGTTGCTTAACTTAGATCTATAAAATAAAATTAGTATTAGATACAATGTTACAATAATAAAACCCTGAATACCTAGGCAAATTAAATAATTAAAAGAAAATAATATTAAGAATTATAGTGAATATATACTTTAAAATATGAGTTTCATCCTTTCTAAAGATGGTCTTGACATTAGGAGTGGTTGTTTTAGTTTTCAGGTGCTTTGCGCTCTGCTTATAAATGAAACATGTGAGATATTGTGTTAATAGATGTAGTAGTACCGAGTAATGAATCCTGAAATGTGAATTGGTACTATAATTAAAATAGCACTAAACATAGTCTTAAAATACTTAATAAAATTACTGATTCAGGACCTACTGAGAGAGAGAGATACTAGTGAACCTGGCAGCTCTGGCTAACCGTCCAGCACTCTGTTCTTTGATAAACTGAAGGTAGCAGCAGCCGGCATGCCTGCTGAA